CTGCTCAGGTATGTTTAAATACACAAATGCTCACCACTGGGCTACAACTGCCTGTGCTGTTCAGTACAAGAACATGTTGTATAGGCTTGCCGCCTTGGAGACATAGGCTAGATCAGAGCCTAGGTGTGCAGGAGGCTGGACCAGCGAGTTTGTGTAAGTGTGCTCTAAGGTGTTCACAAAACTATGAAATTGCCTAGTGACACATTTTTCAGAATGTATCCCAGCAGTTCATGACTGTATTTTAGAAAAGACTGGGGCCCTGGCTGGTGTGGCTCAGTTGGCTGGAGCAGAGCATCACCATCACCCTATACACTGAAAGTTCGTGTGTTCGATTCCTGACTAAGGAGTATAGGAGAGGCAACAGATCAATGTTTTTTTCTCTCTCCCTCTCCCTTCCTCTCTTTCTAAAATCAATAAAAACTTATCCTCAGGTGAGGATTAAAAAAAAAAAAGTCCCGCCCTGGCCAGTTTGGCTCAGCGGTTAGAGCGTCAGCCTGCGGTCCAGAGAGACCCGGGTTCGGTTCCCGCTAAGGGCATGTACCTCGGTTGCAGTTTGTCCCCGGCCCTGGTTGGTCGTGTGGGTGGCAGCCACTCGATGTGTTCCTTTCACGTCGATGTTTCTCTCTCTCTCTCTGTTCCTCTCTCTCCCTCCCACTCTACCTGAACAACAACAAAAAAAAAGTCCTGGGACTGATCCAGCCACACCAGATTTAAGGCTCTCATAACCTTTCTGCAGAGAACACATACCTTGTAAACAGTTCAATGTTTATGTTTGCTCAGAGCTACACCTGGAGAGTTTCTCGTTTCTTTCTATTGTTATATGATCTTAACCTTTCATTTCCTTATACTCATGTTTCTTTCTGAGCCAGCAGCTGAGAAGCAGTCTAGATCAAATTAAGACAGAAGCCACCGCACAGACCGGGAGCAGGCCTAGAATGGTACCGACAGTGGGGCTGGAAGGGTGCCAGGTTGTGGGAGAAACTCAAACCAGGTGCAAATAAGGCAGAAACTGGAGGTGTCCACACAGAATGCCAGTGCTTTCTCTGGGCATCAGACGTGACTGCATGATGGGCCCGCTGGCTGACAGGGAACCAGATTTTCCAAGGAAGGACTGCCCTATTAACATTTCAGCCGGGCCTCTGGGACTTATAATTCCACAAGGTCTTTCTGACAGCTTTCCCTTGACTGACATGAGATGTTGGCCTAGCACTTACGGAATATACCTCCAAGCAGTATCTTACTCATGGTTTCTCTAACCCTTTCTATAAAAAATTGCTCTCACACCACTCGGCCAGGTACAGGACACCTGTATGCGTCCCTCTGGTCTTCTCACAGCTATCCAGCCCCTCCTCAGCCCCAGCCCGCAACCATCCGTCACGCTACAAGTTCTCACACCACGCACAGTGATAGGTGGCAGTGTGGGAGGGTGGCGGGGAAGACAAATATGGCTGTCACGTTTCTCACCTTTAAGAAACCCCAAAACTAAGGAGGTCGGGTGGAGATCATTCACTTAGCAGGTTATTATAGTTCGATGCTGGCAGCAGTGGGACTGGGCATGAGAGAGCCCAGAGTCGGAGTCCCAACCACCTGGGAGGTGGGTTATCAGACATGGCTTTTGGAGGAGGTGAGATCCAGGGGGAATTACAAAGGATGGATGGGAGTTAGACAGAGATGGGAGAAAGGACATCCCAGAGAGAACAGCATAAAAAGCCACCCAAAAATGTCAGGTGAAAATTGCAGAAGTGTGGAGCCAAAGAGTTGGAACATAAAGTATGAAGCATCAGGTAAAAAGAAATGAAGGTAGAGAGACGGGGTGGGGCAATGGGAGGAGCAGGTCATGGAGGTCAGGCCACATTCAGAGCTTCAGCTTGAATAATGAGATAATGAGAAGCCTGTAAAGCTTTAAACAAGGGGACAACAGGTGTTCCCCCAGCCTATCTGAGTTTGGCACTTTGGACTCTGGGAAGCAAAGGTCCTCAGTGCCTTTGGACTCAGATGGAAAAATCCTTCAAAATAAGAAAAAAGTTGAGTTAAAAATTTTTTTTAAATCCTCGCCAGAAGATATTTTCACATTAATCTTTAGACAGAGCTGGAGAGAGAAAGGGAGGAAGAAAGAGACAGACAGAAACATCAATGTGAGAGAGACACATTGGTTGCCACATTGGTCGACTGGTTGCCACCCACACAGCCCCAACCGGGGCAGGGACGAACCACAATCCAGGTACGTGCCCTTGGCCGGAATCGAACCCGGGACTCTTTGGTCCACAGGTCACGCTCTTACCACTGAGCCATACTGGCCAGGGCCAAAAATTGAGTTTTTAAAATTAGCTCCCTAAATGTCTGCATATGATCTATTTAAATAAAAACCACATCTCGTGGTATTTTGTTTCTCACTTATAGACAATATAGAGTGTTAAAAATAAGGACCATTTTTCTTTTTCTGTGTATTTTTGTGGTGAACTTTAAAAAAAGTATGTGTACTATTTTCCACACGTTTAATTAGTTTTATTATCTATAAACTTAATAATATATCTCTGGATGGATATATAAGAAAGCAACAACATTAGTACTAATGGAGTGCAAATTTTAAAAATTTGAAACTTGTGAATATATTTCCTGTTGTTTTTTTTTTTAAAGCTAACTTTAAAAATTATTTTAAAAATAGGGATAGAAAGCCCTGGCCTTGCAGTTCAGTTGGTTAAAGCATCACCCCTATACGCCAAGGTTGTAGGTTTGACCCCCAGTCAGGGCACATACAAGAATCAACCAATGAATGCATGAATAAGTGGAACAACAAATGGATGTTTCTCTCTCTCTAAAATCAGGCAACACAAAAAATTTTTTTAAAATATAGGGACAGATATTCAGGGGGAAAAACATTTTTGAGGGGTTGGAATTGGGGAAATTAGCCCAATATACTAAACAATTGCTAAATTTATGCTCAACTATTCAAATCCTGAAACTTAAATTCCATGAATCATGTCTGTCTACTTACAGAGATACGCTCAGTATACAGAATAGTACATACTTGGTACCACAGAAGGCTAAATAAATATTTGTTGATTGCCAAAAATATAAATGTTAAAATATTGTTATTTTTTCAAGAATTCTTTTCTGTACTATGTGAAGACAAAATCCTCAATGCACTTCATGAGCCAGGCCAAAGCCTGTTCCAGATGGGACTCAGGAAGCTGGCACAGAAGCCTGTGTGGGGTGTGGTGATCAGTTCCAGCAAGAACAACCCTCGGGTGACTAAAGCTAGCATAATGTTTCACTAAATTAACACACACACACACCCATCCACCCACCCTGCTAACCTTATCTCCCCACTTAAGTGGTGAGGAGAAGCTTCCTTCCACTGTCCTCCTCATTTCTCCCCACCCTTCTCCTTTCTGTGGTTCGGCTGGGACTTTGCTTTAGGTATACAGAAAATTATCATTCCTTCTTTTCCTGCTGCAAAAGGAACGGTTCGAACTTCAAGCTACACAAATTCAGGGTCAGATCCCCGCTTTGCCTTGAACAGGCTGTGTGAAGATGAGCACAGTATTTCTTCAGTCTAAGCCTCTTTTCCTTCATCCGTACATGAGGATAACAACGATTATTCCTTATAATTAAAAGGAAGGATGTAGAACATCATATATCTGGCACAAACTGTATCAACAAAAACAACAGTGGATGCCACATATATAATATTGACATGTGTTATAAATAATAAACAATAAGGGTGAACACTCACTGCACTGTGGGAAATGTTGGTTCACTCCCTCTCTTCCAAGTCTTCAAGATCTGACAAGCCAGTATCTCTGAAAATAAACTGCTCAGAGAATAGCAGATGTCTATGTCTCTGTCCCTAGTCCCCTTGCTGGACCTTCTTCTGCCTCTTCCCGAGTAGATTTCTGCGATTACCACTCCTGTTTAACTCTTAGGAATGCTGAGTTATTGGGCACCTGACAACTGCTGTGAGTGTATTTCAGATACTAAGGTAGTTTCCAACAGCACTCAAATGCCCCAACAGTAACGATACTACACGTAAGAGCAGGAAGTTATTTCAAGCATGGCAGGTATAGGGCCACCCTCGAAAAAAGGCTGACACCACAGCCACGCTGGCACAAGAGTGGAAACTACTGTGTTGGCACATCACTGGGAAAAGGTGTGCAGGTCACACAGGTAAATGCCCATCAACATACGGGAAACAGAATTTTGAAAAGAAACCCAGTCCTGAATCAAAGAGGAAGTTTGTTGTTGTTGTTGTTTGTTTTTGCTTTCAGTTGCCTGGCATACATTGGACCCCTTTAGCAAAATCAACAGAAAAGTCTTCACAGCATATAAACACAAGAGGCTGCAAACTGGAATTTCTAATAAAAATTTGTGACTTAAAAATTAGGATCAACTCCAGCTAGAATCTCGCTCTGTATGTTTTATCTCATTGCTACTCATTCTTCTAGGCAATGAAATATTGGACTAGATTTATTGAACCAATTCTGTTGAGACTTGGGTATTTGTCCAGGTCTTACACTAGAGACACTCCAGTCGGAGTGATCACTTGTGAACTGCCCAAAGAGAATTCAAAGATTCTGAAAATAGCCTCATGAACTTTGACCAATGACTCTGAGCACCAATGTAATACTGTGTAACATCTTATTTCGACTCACAAGTTCTGAATGCTTCTGAAAAATATCAGTCTTGTTATGCTAAGCCGTGCCTATCGAGTACTATGAGAAGCATTCATTCAAAAGACTGAGCTAAAAGTCAGAAATTATGTGATACAGCATCAAAAGCAGTTTTGCCAGAGTTCCCGTAGCTTAGCATATTTCCTAGGTCACTACATTGTACACAGTTGTCAGACAACAGAGCTGGCACTAACCTGTCACCAGAAAGCAACCAGACAATAGCTTTCTAAGCATTTGAATCTTTTTCCAAATAATTTCAAATGAGTCCGTTCTCTAGAGGAGTTGAATGGAAGCAAATTCAATCTGTGAATAAGAAAAAGTGGTACCTACTTGGAATCCTATTAAGCGTCACCCAGAAATGTTCGTCAGGACTATAGGTATCTTTTGACCAGTGTAGTAGATCAATGGCCATTTTGTCACGAAAGATGAAGTTGACAAACTCTCTGGTCAGGGCCACATAGGCAGTGCCAAAATAAATGGTCAGCTGATGTGGAGGTGAGGTTTTCAAAACGTTAGTGTTTCTCATAAAAGAGCCATCTCTGCCTATGTGCTCCTGGTGGACATACTTAGTCCGTCCAATTGCATGAGCTGGGGGCAGCACGCCCGGGGTAATGTTTTTCCCTTTAAATCCTTTCAGATGCTGGATTATTTCCTTGTTGGTTTTCAGGGGGAAATCTTGCCCACAGGTGTTGATGGCGTACTTCCACGGGACCTCCGAGGCCACCAGGTCCCGCAGGCAGTTCAGGTCAGCCTGGAGCCTGGAAATTCCCGCGTAGACCACGGGCTCGATCTTTGAGGCAATAAATGCATTTTGGAAACAGCTCAGTAACTGCCACACTGATTTCTTAAACTCAGCTGTCGCCTTTTCGTCCACATGGACGCAGTAGACATTTTGGGGCATGTAGATGGCCCTGAAGAGCCTTTCGAAGGTACCAAAGTCCTTATGGATGACCATGACATAGGCCAAGGGGAACGCCACTTCTTCCTCCGACAGGGGGCTTGTGATGTAGTGGTTCTCGATCAGGTAGTCCTTGCAGGGGACACTTCCCAAAGATGATATCAACGTCTTCTCCCAGGGGACAGTGGACTTGTCTTCCAAGGCGTCCTCACAGGCACTTAGTACAGAATGCCTCTCACTGGAGCCGTTCACCTTCCTCCTGGGCAGGCTTAGTCGGCTGTTGTAACGTATCACAAAAAAAACCACACTGAGCACAGTGAACGCAAAGAGATAATACCTCCAAAAGTTCATTCTTTTCACTTCCCGGGGGCAGGAAGATCAATCCAGGGACTGAGAAAGGATCAGTCCCTGAAACCTGAAACAAGGGTGAAGGGGCCTGATGGCCGTCCTTCGCTAGCCTTGAACGTCCGCAGCTCCTCGAACGGGCGTCCTTTAATCCTCACTGAGTCCCCGCGGCAGAGTCGCGGCGGTGCGGGCGGCGGGGGACGGGCGCTGCGGCTCACGGGGCTCGGGCCCGGCGCAGCGGAGCGGAGCGGCGCGCCCGGCCAGCCTCCGGGAAGCCCGCCTCGTTTGCATATGAAACGCAAGAGGTGGATCCGAGCAAAGTACGTTCTGGAAAGAACTGACGGTCCTTTCCACCGGGGCTGGGCTTCTGTGGCTTCACCCCACCCCCCTTCCATCCACTCTATTCCGATCTCATCTCTCCTCTGTTCTCGCACTTCCCCTCGCGTCTGGGAGCGAGGGCTTCTCCTTTTTCGGGTCAGCCCTGCAACCTGCTAGCCGTGCTCAGAAACCTCCGCGTCCACGACGAGTGCTCCTCGGTTGGTATCTCTTCCCGTTTCTCGGCCACCTCTCTCCATTTCCGTGTGATCTCTGCCCCTGAGCACACACAGCCCCAGATAAGGGAAAGCGCTTGCAACATGTCTCAGTAGTATCAGCAGCAAGACCATCAGCGGCAAAAAAGAAAAAGAAAAAGTCCGCTGGAGAGTTAGCTGTTCGCTGAATTAAATCAGACGGTTTCTGAGGGTGGTGTACATATTCATGTGCGGGCTCTGGGAAGAGGTAAATAAGGATTACACTGTTTGGGGCATGGGGTGAGGGCAGGAGGAACCTAGGAGTGACTGGAATCATCAAAGGATCGGTGTGAATGACATCAATGAAATAAACACACCTCAGTTTGCCTGCCACAGAGAAAAATGATAGTCATTGTTCCCAGAGAGCAAAAGTTGGTTCCCATTTCACAAAGAGCTTCAGATAACTGGAGTTGTTGACACGGTGTTACCTACAATATGTAGAGTGACTAGCAACTGGGTCTCTTTATAAGCCTGACATCTTGAGATCTGAGGGCATTTCAGAGAACTCCAAGGATTCTACTTCCCACCCTACGCCCTCTCCCACTTCCTTACTCTGAAGAAACAACAGAGGCTTCCGGCAGCAGCAAAATTCCTGGAAGTATCAGTCAGTGAAATTTAGAGAAGCCAGGAAGAGAAGCCCAGCAGGTCTGGTCACATTACAGAGGGGTTCTCAACGTTCACTTGTGCCAGGTGCCTGAGCGCTCAGCAAGTGTGGAGCCAGCGCTGAAGACTGGTGCAGGTGGTAAGGATGCTGCTGGGGGTAAGCAGTCCAACTAAAAGATAAACCAGGGCAGTCACAGTCCCATCTCATTCCTGCAGTCACCCAGCTGTCCAACCTGTATGGGCATGGTGTGGCAATTGAAGCAGCTGCCTCTGTTAGGAAAACATCTGGTGTACATTGCAACAATCTCTCTGCCTGTTCCTATCCCACACCACCAGGGAATTAATTTATGTAATGAATGATGAATGAATGGCCACAGTAGCATGGATGTGATGGATATTGATTTGGAGATAGACCCAAAACATTGGCAGGAATCTTAAAAGTCTCCTAACTCAACCCTTTATTTCACAGATGAGGAGACTAAGGCCAATACAAAGATTTATGTTCATAAGTCATTCAGCTGGATAGAAGCCAGCACCTTGATTTTTCTGCTCCCTGGTACAGATGCTGGCGCCAGTCTAACTGGCTTCAAATGCCAGCTGGTTACTGATCAGCTGTGTGACCAGGGTAAAGTTACTCAGCCTCTCTAAGCACCAGGTTCTTCATCTATGAGATGGGAAACAACGGTGGTTGCTGTTTCACGTGGTTAAGAATATTAAATGAGCCCAGCACTGTGGCTCAGTGGTTGAGCGTTGACCCACGCACCAAGAGGTCCTGGTCAGGGCACTTGCCCAGGTTGTGGGCCCGATCCCCAGTGGGGGGCATGCAGGAGGCAGCCAATCGATGTTCTCTCTCATCCATGTTTCTATCTCTCTCTCTCTCTCCCTCTCCCTACCTCTCTCTTTAAAACCAATGACGAAAATTTAAATTAAAAAAAAAGAATATTAAATGAGATAACTCTTATTCAGGGTTTATGTATATTTTCACATATGTTCACTAAGCGTTGACAATTTTTTTTGTTGTTGTTTTTCTTTTGAAAAGTATCCAACATTTCCGGCCCCGTTAACAGATATTTTTATTTCTGTTCTTACTAATTGAACAGAAAACACCTTCTTAAGGCTTTCCAATGGGTTGAAATGGGCATTCCCATTCAAAAAGGGTGAAGGTTAAATTTCACTCTTTTCTTTCCTCACCACTATCCCCTTTCACTGCCTCCCCACCCAGGGGTGGAGGGAGATAGTAGGAATGTGGCTAGATAAAAGGAAGAACTGAATAGTCCATTTTGATGCTTTCACTTTCCTTCATTCTTCCTAGAGCCACACCCTTTTCTGCAAAATGCATCCGTGGCAGGACTGGTGGAGAGCAGGGGAGGGGCGGTGGTGGGGGGAAGGTGAGGCAAAGGGCTTGCGATGCAGGTTCGGTTGGTCGTTCCCCCCTCTCTGCCTTGAGCCTTGCTCCTACAGTAGGGAGCTCTGGTGGAATGCCAATGCAAAGCAAACTCAACACATCTTTAATCATGATTTAGTCCAAGCACAATGCAAGTGCGAGTGTAACATGATTTACAGTCCAAAAAAAAAAAAATTTGTAATTTGTCCTGCCTTATTTACAAAGGTGTAGATGAACAGCCTGAGGTTGGAATGTGAAGCCTTTTTAGTGGCTGCCCTGGCAGGAGGTTTGTTTGGCCTGCTCTCTGTGGTAACTGAACAGGCCTTGTCTTCCAGCAAATAATCGGGTGGGCTTGGCTATTACCTTCCAACCCGGCCATTGTTTTCTGCTCCTTCCACTTTAGTTGCTTAACAAACCTATTGAAAAGTGTCCTCAGGTGGACATTTTGTATCATTCCCTGCCTCTCTCTGCCCCAGGGTAACCTTATCGTCACAAACAAGAACAAGGACAGCAACTAACAATACACAGTCAGCTCAGCTCACCATTCAAACAAAAGGCGAGGCTGTCTGGGGGCTTTCTGGGAACCCAGTGGGATCTTTGCAGGATCCCCCCCCACAGTCACCTAGTTCCCATCAACCTTCCCGAGCTCTGCACCCCCTCAGCTGGGCTATCACAGGCAAATATGAATGCTGATCGCACCGGCAGGGTTGGAATCCCCGCCTGACTTGTTCCCAAGTAAGACAGTTCTCTACCTCTCTGGTTGCTTCTCTTAGCATAATTACTGGCTACTGAACCAAGGCAATGCTTTTTATTTTTTTATCCTCACCCCAGGACATTTTGCATTTATCTTCAGGTAGAGCAGGAAGGAGAGAGAGAAAAACATAAATGTGAGAGAGACACATAGGCTGGTTGCCACCCACACAACCCCCGACCCCAACCAGGGTCAGGGACAAACTGCAACCGAGGTACGTGCCCTTAGCGGGAACGGAACCCAGGACTCTCTGGTCCGCAGGCCAACGCTCTAACCGCTGAGCCAAACTGGCCAGGGCCCAAGGCAGTGCTTTTGATGGGTCCTCTCATCTCCACTGACTTGACACCACTCTGCTCCTCATATAAGGCTTGGGCTGTCAGTCTGGCAATCTCAAACACTGACCACAAGCAAGACGCAGAAAGTAAATAAGAAAAGATCTCCCAGCAACCAAAACAACGATCCCATGCTGTAGGCTGGATTCACACACGCAAATGTGTGTAGGCAGGTAAAATAAAAATGTAAGTGAAGCTGGTTGGAGGGAAGGGAAACAGGGTTAGTGATTTCACAAGTGAACACTTGGCTCTGGTGTCACGGACGTGAAGGAAGAGTGGGACCCTGGTGAGGAGCTGTGCCCACCTAAAGCAAACAGCTCCCTTGCAAGGCCAGCAGTCAATCCATCCAGCCAGTGCTGCCAGCTCTTCTGATATTTTAAGAGAAGTGAGGAATCTGGATTTTATTTTTTAAAAAGTTCCAAATTCTTTAAAGGATATCAAGTCATTAACAAAACTTGAGAACACAAGTGCGCCCACACACACGCACCACGGGCCCCAGGATGCCAGTTTATCATCTCTGGTTTACACACCAAGGCTTAAACCTATTCACTCTTAGTTTTGACGAAACCTTCGATTTTCTCAGACCTAAGCAGGTAAGAAGTCACAGAGGAGAAGGGAGGTGTAGAACGGGTACATTCCAGCTCCCTAGTGTCAGCAGTAGGTGGACAGAATGAAATAGGCTGAAGGAAAACTCCACAAGCAGGTCAGATCAGGATCATTCCATGTCAGGATGACAGGCGCTTATTTGCACAGCTGGCTAACCATTTTATTACTGTCGATCGATACCACTAGCATTTGCAAGTATCACATAAGTTAACGTCTACGCAAGGGCTTGAAGGCTGATGATCAGTGCAATCATTGGGCCAACCAGGCCTTTGAAAACAGAGTCCTAACAGTTAGTGAAACAGAAATATAAGTGTATTAATAGATCTCTTCTACATATATTCTGCATATTTGATTTTAAAAAAGCATTTCTGAAATGTTTATTCAAAATAGTTGTTCTTTAATTCACCATTTTGTGCACCAAAGGATGGGTTTTCGATTGTCTAGAAAATTCACAGTCATGACAAAATTTTTTTCCTAAAATAATCTTAGGAAAATATGTGTGCCACGTGATTCTGCCTCAGGCGTCAGCACTTCTTTAAAGGCCCAGGTAGTGAATATTTAAGACTTGTGGGCCATTTGGTTCCTGAGGCAACCACCCACGTCTCCTACGGCACCGCGCAAGCAGCCATGACGCTAGGTGGCTGTGTCCCTGCTGAAACTGTTTCTGGACATTGGTATCTCGGTGTCAGATTGTTTTCATGCCTTGACATAGTCTTCTTTTGATTTTTTTTCCAACCGTGTAAAAATGTAAAATCATTCTTAGTTTGTGGGCAGTATAAAAATGGGCCAGATTGAGCCCAGGGGCTGTATTTTTTGCTGATCTATGTTCTAGATGATAATCATGTTCCTTTAGGCCTATATTTCACAATATCAGCGTCTTAGCAATCACCTGTCATTTCTGCATGTTTCCCAATGAAGAAATGTGAAATGAGGTGAAATGGTAATGTTGATTGTCCC